TCCATCTCTATTTTTATCTTATTTTCCTTCCCTTATGTTCATCTGTTGTGTTTCTTAAATTCCACATAGGAGTGAAGTCAAGCTATTTGTCTCTCTCTGCATACCAGCATTGGATACCAGTGAAAAGGGATGGATTTTTGCTAAATGGTGCTAAGATCATTGGTTAATTGTTTATAATTAAGTTTTCCTGATCTTGTGTCAAACATCAACATGTAAAGCAGATTGAATAATTTAAAGCGAAGCATGATACCAGAAAAACACACCCTTACTTTTAGAATCTGGTGATAGGAAGTGCTTTTAAGAACAAATGCAAAACCCATAAAGGAAAGACGATGGACTTGTCTCAATCAAATTGGAAACTATGGTATTTTTTTTCCCCTAGGGCTGCCATAATGGAACATCACAAACTGAGTGGCGTAAACAACAGAGATGTATTGTCTCCCAGTTTTGAGGGCTGCAAGTCCACATCAGGGTGTTAGGGTTCCTTCCTGCTGAGGGCCGTGAAGGAGAGAATCTGATCCAGGCCTCTCTGCCTGCTTCTAATGCTTTGCTGGAAAATTTCAGCATTCCTTAGCTTCAGACATGTCCCCCCGATCTCTGCTTTCGTCACATGGCCGTCTGCCTGTGTTCTTGTCTGTATCCAAATCACCGCCCCCCCCCCTTATTTTTAGAGAGAGAGAGAATCCTAATGAGGGGCTCAATCCCATAACTCTGGGTTCATGGCCTGAGCCACATTCAAGAGTCAGACACTCAACCGAGTCACCCAAGCCTCCAAATTTCCCTCTTTTTCTATAAGGACACCAGTCTTATTGGGCTAGGTGACCACCTGGCTCCAGGATAACCTCACCTAAACTAATTATATCATATGGTGACCTTGTTTGCAAATAAAGTCATATGCTGAGGTCGTGGGGTTAGGACTTCAACATCTTTTGGAGGGATATAATTCTACATCACAATTTCCTTGCATAAATTTAAATAGGGAATAACTCACAGGGGAAAAAATTGTATATAAAACTAACAGAGTTTGTATCCACAAGTATCCACGTGGCTCTTACATATCAATAGGAAGATAAACCCTTCAAATCAGAATGAAGAAAACATGAATCCCAAATCCATGCTCACAAATAAATAAGGCTATAAATCAATGTAGAAAAAAATCTCAATCATACTAGTAGTCATCGGTGGATATTCATTCACCAATACTATTTTATTTCCGATCAGGTTGGGTCAGATGAACGTGATTGTGAATGTCCACTGTTGTAAATAATGTGGAATATTTCAGACTCTGATGTTGGCAGGTGTAATTTGGTACAGTCTTTCGGAAGAGCAACTTACAAAGCCACAATTATATGTAAGCTTTTTATTTACCCCAGAAATTTGTTTCTGGTGTTTATCCTAAAGAAACAGAGATGTTATCCAGAAATACTACAAGGTTGTCCTACCATAGCTTTGTTTCTACTTTTTCTTTTTTTAATTTTTTTAAACATTTTTTTATTTATTTCTGAGAGAGAGAGACAGTGTGAGAAGGGGAGGGTCAGAGAGAGAGGGAGACACAGAATCTGAAACAGGCTCCGGACTCTGAGCTAGCTCTCAGCACAGAGCCCGATGCGGGGCTCAAACCCACGAACCGTGAGATCATGACCTGAGCTGAAGTCGGCCGCCCAACCGACTGAGCCACCCACGTGCCCCTCTACTTTTGATTTTCAAGCAACTCTAGATTTATAGGAAATTGCAAAGATAGTACATAGACGACCTGAATATTCTTCTCCTACTTTCCCTCATTGTTTGCATCTTACATAATTATAGTTCATTACTGAAAGTGGGAAATTGACATTGGCACTGCGTATGTATAGAGTTCTCTGTCATTTTATCACGTGTGGATTTGTGTGATCATTGCCACTGTCAAGAAATGGAAATGTTTCTCACCATAAAGACCTCTCCCAGGCTCCCCCTTTAAAGTCATAGCCCTAATCCCCAGCAACACCTTACCTGCTTTCCACCTTTTAAGTTTTTGTCATTCGAGATGGGCTGTTGTATGCAGTGTAATGTCCTTGAGTTCTATCCAACTGGTTTAGTTTATTGTGTGTATCAGTAGTTTGTGTTGCTAATGGCTGAGTAGGACTCCACGGTATGGATATATCAGTTTAACCATTCACCTACTGGAGGACATTCTAGTTGTTTTCAGTTTGAGGTTATCACACATAAAGGTGTTGTGAAAATTCGTATACAGGATTTTCATTTTTCGGGGATGAATGCTTGGGAGTGAAACTGCTGAGCAGTACAGTGTTTAGGTTTTAGAGAAACTGCCAGAAATTTTGTCAATTCCCGCCAGCAGTTTTTGACATACCCAGTTTTTCCCCATCCTTCCCAGTATTTAGTGTTTTCCCTATTTTTATTTTATTTTTTTAAGGTTTATTTATTTATTCTGAGAGCGAGCATGAGCGAGCAGGACAGGGGCAGAGAGAGGGAGAGGAAGAGCGAGGATCCCAAGCAAGCAGGGTCTGCACTGTCAGAGCAGAGCCCCGTGCGGGGCTTGAGCTCCCAAACTGCACATACAGATGGGAATTGAGCAGGGTTCTGCTGATGCGTTGACCAAGTTGTGTGCAGGCTTATGGGAAACCACAAAGGGGCGGTGAATCACCCCAGGACTGGCCACAGCAGGAAGTGATGATCAGTCTAGGCCTAAAGGGGCAAGAGCACGCGTGTGGGTGGGGACGATTCTCAGAACCTGGGGGAGATGGAGGAGAGGGCCTCTGGCTGGCGCTGCAGATCTGCGTGTTGGAGCGCAGCCACACGGGCACTGGGAAGGGCACGGAGGTGCACGCACCCCACCCTCGCTCTCACTGTCCCTCCGGTGACTTCCCATGGCTGCCCACTGGCCAAAACCCACCAGAATCAATAGGGCAAGGGAGCCTGTATACATAGCTATATGGGTCAGCCTTCCAGGTACGACCCTGACCCAGAGGGGTGCCTGGAGGTTAGGTCATCATCACAGTCTGAATCCGTGAAAGCAGCCTGTTTGGTGCAGCCAGTAAGGAAAGGTTTAGAAAATCTAGAACTGAGATATGACCCCATAGGATTTCACATAAGCAATCTATACTTGTAAGACATTGAAAGACTTTTTAAAGTATTCAAGTGTGTGTGGTCCAAGTGCACACTTGGGAAGGACCTCCCCGAACCTCTCCCACTGAGATGAATCTAGGCCAGTCTCTATAATAGACGCCCCAGCTTCCCACTGATGTTCTCTTTGCATCCTTAGCAAAAAGGCACCGAGCCTGTGCTTGGACTGACTTTGTCTCTCCAGGTCTTACCTTGCTGTCTCGGGGGCCACCATGCCAGGGCAAAGCAGTGTCCATCCGCCTTGACGGGGACCTGCTCCTGAGTGCCCCTCCCTGTGGTTTATCCTGCTGGTGTGGCCGGTTCCCCACTGGGAGATGGGCCAGCTCGTCATCTTCACGCCAAATCCCAGCACCATCCTGGAATATCGCAGGATCCACGTCAATAACTCATCCCAAACCCAGGCTTCCTGGGTTTGAGGTGGCTTCCACTCCAGTGACCTTCCCCTCCATTCCGCCTCAGCGGCCCAGGCCTGTCCCCCGGCTTTGAAATGCTCTCACACACTCTGAAACCCTATTTCCTTAGCGTCCCACCCCTTCTCACAGCTTCCTTCCTTCTGGGGCTCCTCCTCTCTCATCTCTCTGAGCTCTGCAGGCTCCCCAGCCCTCCGGCCCTCCTGCTACATCTCGGCATAACTCCCTTTCCGGTTCAGCCTCAGGTTGGACATATAATGTATTGAGGAAGGAATGACATTGTCATTCATACTCAGGGTTCATGGGCCAGTAGCACCCCCTTATCTGATGAGTATCAGGGTTGGAGTTGGCAGGTGGCTTGTGTGTTAATATGTGGGCAAGGGTGTGTGGCTGTGCTCTGTTCCACCTTAGTTCCTGTCCCTGTGGCTACTCCCAAGGTGGGTACTAGTCTACTCGTGTGAAGTCAGAGTCACTTGGGCTCCATGACATATGTGCTGCGTTTGAGGTGTCCATCATGCTGAAAGGCTTCCCCTTATTTGAAAATGACAAGTGATTTTATTTTGTCTTTGGAGTTCCTGAACTAATTACAAAGGACGTAGAAAAATAAATTTGCTTGAAACCTTTTCTTATCTACATCTTGAATTTTGCTGGCAAATGCTATGAAGTTAGAAGCCGATTTTTTAGAAGGTTTTTTAAAGGAGGGAATTGTATTTCTAATCTTGTTCTTTTATCCTAAGAGAAGAAGGACTTTAGCATTTTTTTTAATGTTTTTATTTATTTCTAGGAGAGAGAGAGAGACAGCGTGAGCAGGGGAGGGTCAGAGAGAGAGGGAGTCACAGACTCTGAAACAGGCTCCAGGCTCTGAGCTGTCAGCACAGAGCCCGACGTGGGGCACGAACCCACGAACCGCGAGATCATGACCCAAGCGAAAGTCGGACGCTTAACCGACTAAGCCACCCAGGCGCCCCGACTTTAGCATTTCTTAAATGGGATGATTTGCAGAAGTGAGGTCGAGGTGGTTAGCGGTCATCTGATAGGTGACTTGCTGTTAGGGAGAAAAGGGATTGCAGGTGTTGGAGAATATGGCTGAACACCCGGCTGAGGACACAAGCCAGCTTCTCAGCGGAGTGCCTCCCCTGCTGTCCATGGACGAGCTTGAAAGGTGGCTCTGAAATTGTCAGTGACACTTAACTCTATGTATGTTCGCATACTTGAGTAGGGGAGAGGTTGTATGTTCGCATACTTGAGTAGGGGAGAGGTAGTCCATGACAACCTCTTATTCTCAAAGGCATTTGTGTCTTAACCTTAACACCCCACATCAGTTTTGAAAGTTGGGCAGAATAATTTGTTGTGGTGTTAACGAAATGGTATTTGCTGATTTTTCTCCTGAGAGATCGCCTTTCCCAGGAAGGCGTGGCCTGGCCTTTTGCCCAGCCAGACTTACCCTTTGCCCTTTTCTTTCCATCCTAGGCCAACACTGGACAAATTGATGACCCCCAGGAGCAGCACAGAATTATCAGCAGCAACCTCGCCCTCATTCAGGTAACTCTCCTCTTGTCCAGTCGATTAATCTCCTCCCTGCTTTGAATCTGCAGTCAGGCCTGCCCCCCGTAGGAAGAGCAAAGAGTAAGGGAACCCTGGTCCCTGTACTCTGGGCTGAGCTTTGGGAACAGGCCCCTCGCCCACTCCTACCCCCCAGACAACACTCATGTGGTAGCTCAGCCCAGCTACAGGCACTGGCACCGCAAAGTAGATGTTTCTTCTTGGAACCCATGGTCCCTCCAGCTTCTCCACCTCCTTCAATAAGACAGACTTATCGGAAGATTCACCTATACTTCCTCACTCCTGCTTCTCATAGTGTGGACAGACAGGGCTAACTGCCTTCTCTTCCCACTGTCTTGACTCAAACTGTGCTTGCCAAGGTCACCGACATCCTAATTCGCGTACCCTCTGATTGCCTCGCGCGTATGATCCTGCTTATACTTTCTGGAGATTCTTCCTGCCTGGAAGTTCCTTCTTGGCCCCACCCCCGCCTCTCAACCTGTGCCTTCTTAGCTTTTGCAGGACACCCTCCAACCCCCATGCCTTCGTCCCTTCAATGCGTCATGCTTGTCCCAACTTCTACCTCCTTCTAATAGACCCTAGTTGGGCTAAGTTTTCATCCTAGGAGTCTCAGAGTATTACAAAGTCAGGAAGCCCTGGGCAGGGGGAGACTGGGAAGAGACTGGCTCAGGGCAAGAGAGGAAGTGGTTTTATCCAGAACCTTCTGGGCTTTTCTGGCTGGGGCAGCCTGTGGCTGCACAAAACGCCTAGACTTTGAGATCAGACAGGCCTGGTGTTAAGCCTGTCATTTATCAACAGATTGGCCTTGGGCAGGCCACACAAGACTCGCTTAGCTCCATCTCCGTGTCCATCAGAGTAGGAAGATGTACCCACTTACCCTCTCCCTTGGGTTCCAGAGCCAGTTTCTGGCCCTCTGCTGGGCATCTCCGTCTGCCCCTCCCGGAAGCATCCCTGAACCGCCTTTGCCACATCTGGCCTCATCACCTTATGTCCTCACACTCACCTCTTGTGAAGTCCCCAACCCCGAAGAGTTTCATGGTTGAAAACTCATGCTGGGGGGTCGAGCCATGTCACCTCACCTTATCTGTGAGATGGACTGTTGCGAGGTTTCAGTCATGTAAGGCCATGGCCCTTGGCCAGCACGTGGGAATCTCCCAATCATGGTAGCTGTGTCTCGTGAGGAGTCTTCCTATTAACCAAGCCCAGGACCGAGTCTCCCTCAGTATCTCTGCTCCTCATCCTTAGGACCAGCCACTGAGGAGTCTGCCTCTGAGCTGTGCTTGAATCCATTCCTGCTTCTTCTTCTCCTTGCCTTGCTCTCTCGGTCTCCTGCCTCACTGACTATAAACCTCTTCACTGCCCCAGGCTCCTTCCCCTCCGCTCCCCTTTACATGGCCAACTGAGTGACCTTTTCTGAATCCTAAAGCTGATCAGGATGCCTCCTCCTGAAGCTCCTTTGTTGGTTTTTCTTGTCCAAGTGTGGGCTCAGCCCAGAGGTACTCTGGTCTGATTCTGCCCCCCCACCCCCAACCCCGCAGCCTCATGTCCCCCACACCTGCTGCCTTTGCATATGTTGTTCCCAATCCTTGGAATGTCCTGTCTCTTCTTGTTCTTCCGGCAGTGAAGCTCCAACCAGGTCTCAGTTCCAGCCTAACACCAGGTACTCTTTGGGGCCTTGCACATGCTGCTGCAGCTGCCCCGGTTACACTTCTGGCTTTACATGTCTGCCTTCTCCACTCGAGCCGAGTTATGTGGGCCAGGACCGTGGCCTGTGGCTGAAGAACTTTGGAGCTGAAATAAGATGCTCGTAATGCCCTTAACAGAGAGTCTAGCAAGGGGCAGGTAATAAGTGCCTCAGCTACAAGTCACCAAATCCTTGTCTGTATGCATGCACATTTCCAGATGATCAGGTGATCAGTTCTCAAGCAAGATTTACTAAGTCCTGCTCTGAGCCAGGCACCGCCTTGGCACATTCCGGGTCATAGCTTAGATATAGTTTTGTCTCCTCCATTTCTCAAGGCGCTTAACATCGAATCATACATGGTAAAATAAATTTCATAATTGAGCTTTTAATAACTGCATATTCTATCACGAATATACGCACGAATGATATTTGAAATATACCCAAGAGTGATTTTTAACAACTAGTAGGGCCCATGAACTCAACCGGTAAGATTCAAGTGCAACCACTAGAAGCTGGTCCAGTAGAGCTGTTGCACACTCTCCAAATTCAGCCCCATCCCACCTCATTCGACCTTCACTACATGGGTGCACCTGCAATTGTTTGTAGGCTTCGACTCAGTGAATTACACCACAATGACATTGTTCTCCTTTTGCACGAATTTCTTTCTTTCTTTTTTTTTTTTTTTTTACAAATAGTTTATTGTCAAATTAGTTTCTACATAACACTCAGTGCTCATCCCCAAAGTGCCCTCCTTCATGCCCATCCCCCCCTCCCCCCCACATCCATCAGTCCTCAGTTTTTGTCAGCATTCAAGAGTCTCTCATGGTTTGTCTCTCTCCCTTTCCCCCACCACTTCCGCCCTTCTTCTCCCCCTTGTTCCTCCGTCAAGTTCCTCCTAATCCTCCTATACGTGCAAACATATGGTATTTGTCCTTCTCTGCCTGACTTATTTCGCTCAGCATAACACTTTTGCACGAATTTCTGAAGAGAACTTCCTACAAGTTCACCAGGTATGAACAATTTAAAGCTCTAGATTTTTCTCAAAAGGATTATAAAATATTTCAATCCTTAGTATTAAATAATAGCACCAGTTGGGGCACCTGGGGGGCTCAGTCGGTTGAACGTCTGACTTCGGCTCAGGTCATGATCTCACGGTTGGTGGGTTCGAGCCCTGTGTCGGGCTCTGTGCTGACAGCTCAGAGCCTGAGGCCTGTTTTGGATTCTGTGTCTCCTCCTCTCTCTGCCCCTCCCCGACTCCCGCTCCGTCTCTCTCTGTCTCAAAAATAAACATTCAAAAAAATTTTTAAAACTAATAGCACAGTGTTAATGTTTCAATTATTAGCTTCTCCATAACCTCACCAGCATTGAAAGTATTCTTCTAAACTACTTTTTCATTTGCCATATAGGTGTATATTTCCATAGACAATATATGATAGGACTTTCTGTGTGTGTGTTTTTTTTAAATATTTTGTTATTTAAGTAATCTCTACACCTAACCTGGGGCTTAAACGCAGGACCCTGAGGTCAAGAGTCACATGCCCTTCCAACTGAGCCAGCCAGGTGTCCCTGCCTCTCTGTGCTTTTTAACCATAAAAAGTATCCTACTGAACTTATAATTCTGTAACTTGTACTTTTGAGAACGACTTAATGAATGGAAATTACTTAGAATAGCAGATAGTAAGCACTCAGGAAATGTCATCTCCAGTCATTCTTCTCATTATTACCTGGTTCTTTGTTCACACGTGCAGATGTTTTACAGGGACAATGCTGGATCATAAGGGATATGCCTAAATTGTAGCCAAGTTTCCTTGCAGAATTCCTGTACTAATTTTACCACCATCTATGTATATGAGAACCATTTTCCCACATATTTGTCAATGTGTATTTTATATTGTCAACCTTTTACATTTTTAAAACTTCATTTAATGTTTATTTATTTTTGAGAGAGAGCGCGTGAGCGAGCAGGGAAGGGGCAGAGAGAGAGGGAGAGAGAGAGTCCCAAGCAGGCTCTGCACTGACAGCGCAGAGCCCACTGCAGGACTCGAACTCATGAACCTTGAGATCGTGACCTGAGCTGAAAGCAGGAGTCAGGTGCTTAACAGACTGAGCCACCCAGATGCCCCTAAACCTCATTTATAGCCCTAGGTAATTTTACCAAATCTAAAGGATAAAAATAGTGTATCCAGGCATTCATTCATTGATTCTTTCATTGGATGAGCACACATGGGTGCTGAGGACCTGCTGAGGGACTCCCCAGAAACTGAGACGGCACTGACCTTTTAGTAGAGGGAGACCAACATCAATTACAAAGAAAGAAGATACCTACTTTCAAATTGGGATTAATTTTTTTTTTTCCTATGACTTGGGAAGGTGGTCACATTTTTGTTTGTTCCTTAGTCACTTGTATTTTCTTTTGTGTATATTGTCTATCCGTACCCCTTGCACATTTTTCTGTTGGGTTATCTTTTGTAAAAAGTTGGCATTGCGTGGGGCACCTGGATGGCTCAGTGGGTTTAGCATCTGATTTCAGCCCAGGTCATGATCTCTCATGAGTTCGTGAGTTCAAGACCTGCATCAGGCTCTGTGCTGACAGCTGAGAGCCTGGAGCTTGCTTCGGGTTCTGTGTCTCCCTCTCTCTCTGCTCTTCCCCTGCTTATACGCTGTCTTTCTCTCCTTCAAAAATAAAGAAACATTAAAAAATTAAAAAAAAAATTGTTTTAAGTGACCATTGTTTTGTAAAATGGACTTCATGATTTTGATCACTAATCCTTGATTACTTATAAATGGAGATATTTGCTCCTGCTCTGTTTCTGTCTTTGAAGTTGCTGGCATCACATAGAAGTCATACTTGAATTTATATACATTTTATCTCATTTTTCTTTATAGATTTTACATGTTATATCTTCAGAAGGTGTCCTTCTCTAATCCAAAATCTGAACCACATTATTCTATATTTTTTCTTTTCATACATTAACTTTTATGTTTAGAGTGGGGTGTGTTTATGAATGGTATAATGTAGGAACCCTTTTCCCCCTGGATATCTACTTTTCCTTACCCTGTTTAGTCAGTACCCACCCATTCCATACTGATTAGAAATGCCACCTTTATCAGATTAAATTTCGGTGTGTAAATTTTCATCTATTCTTTTTAAAAAAATTTTTTTAATGTTTTATTTATTTTTGAGAGAGAGAGAGATAGCGTGAGCAGGGGAGGGGCAGAGAGAGAGGGAGACACAGAATCTGAAACAGGCTCCAGGCTCTGAGCTAGTTGTCAGCACAGAGCCCGACGCGGGGCTCGTACCCACAAACCGTGAGATCATGACCTGAGCTGAAGTCGGGCGCTTAACTGACTGAGCCACCCAGGCTCCCCAAATTAATCAATTCTTAAGTAGTTTTTTATTTTATTTTATTTTTTTATTTTTTTTTAAATATTTTTTATTTATTTCTAGGAGAGAGAGAGAGAGAGCGTGAGCAGGGGAGGGTCAGAGAGAGAGGGAGACACAGAATCCGAAGCAGCTCCAGGCTCCGAGCTGCAAGCACAGAGCCCGACGCGGGGCTCGAACCCACAAGCCGTGAGATCATGACCTGAGCCGAAGTCAGACGCTCAACCAACTGAGCCCCCCAGGCGCCCCTAAATTTTCGTCTATTCTTGATGGCATTCCTGGACTCCAGTCTGTCCGGTTTTTGTGCCAATAGCACCCTGTTTTAATTACTATAGCCTTAAAACTACATATTGATACTGAATGTGCCAATACTCCTGCATCTTTTTTCTCAAGGTGTCTTAGCTGTTCTTGCACATCTACTCCTCTTTGTGGAACTTAAGATGAGTTGTCGAGTGCCACGAAAAGTCTTTTGGGACTCTGACTGGAATTACGTGGGTTAACTTGGGGAGCATTGCTCATTCATATATACGGTAGAGCTCAATGTTTCCTTAGGCTTCTTTAATAACACAGCATGTTTCCATTGAGACCTTTGAATTACAGTTGATCCTTGAACAGCACGGGTTTGAACCGCGTGGGTCCACTTATATGCAGAGTTGTTTCTATAAATACAGTGCTGTACATGTATGACTCCCGATGATTTTCTTAATTTTCTTTTCTCTAGCTTACTTTATGAAGAGAGTACAGTATATGCTATAACGTACAAAATATGTGTGACTCGACTCTGTGTAATGGGTGAGGCTTCTAGTCAACAGTAGGCTGTTAGTGAAGTTTTGAGGGAGTCCCCATTTCTACACAGGGTTTCAATTTACATGGTGTCGGTGCCCCTATTGCCTGTGTTACTCAAGGGCCAATGGTACTGATCACATGCCAGTGTTGACCCTCAGATCCGGGGAACCTCATGGAACTGGCCTGCATGAGCAGCAGAGGGGTGTCCCCGCTGAGATGAGATGGGACCTGCATCTGGGATGGAGGAGAATGTAGAGAAAGAGGGGCACCATCGTCAAGGGCAGGGAAAGAGACAGAAGTGTGCAGAGAGGCTTCCGAGGCATAGCTGTGGATCCTGGAGTGTTTCCGCACTGCAGGGGAAGTTGCTTGTCTGAGCAGCTGGAGGTTACAGAGCACTTTTGCCCAGACCAGTGAGAGGAGCCAGGAGCGAGAGACCAGTGGCCTTTGGCCAAGGGCTGAGTAGGAGATGGAGATTTCACGATGGAAGATGGCATTGAACAGATTGCAGAACGAGGAAATAGTAGTTTTCTAGGGTGTTGGAGTGAAGCGACGTGTTTGTTTTTTCCAAGTTGGAGAGGCTGTTGGCAGATTTTAGGGTGAGGGAAGGAGGTTGGGGTGACCTCAGGGTCAGAGAGGAGGCGGAGTGAAAGGCAGGGAGGAGCGATGGTGGTCGGAGGCACCTTTCCTCACGTTTCTGATTTCCTCCCTGACAGGTGCAGGCCACCGTGGTGGGGCTGCTGGCTGCTGTGGCTGCCCTGCTGCTGGGCGCCGCATCTAGGGAGGAGTTAGACTTTGTGAAGGCGGAGTTGCTGTGTGCCAGCAGCGTCATCACCGCCTTCCTCGCGGCGTTTGCCTTAGGTGAGCTGTGCCCCCAGTGACCACGCCCCGCACCCCCCCCCCCCCGCTGGCTCTCTCCATGCTCCGCTCCTCATCTCTGCTCTCGCTCTTTGTGTTTCAATTCCTTGAGATGTGGAAGATGGGCGCACTGGTGGTGGGGCCTCACCTGTCCAGCCAGAAGGTGGGGGAGAGCCTGTTGGGGCTCGAAGCCCCTCCTGATGAACGGGCAAGGAGGGCGATGAGTCTCTTCCTAGGCAGTGTGTCTGCGTCGGAGAGCGCTGCCTCCACTTCTCTCCCCTCTGCTTGTTCAGGGAACTGGCTTTTGCTCAGTAGACGCATTCGTCTGTTCATCCATCCTCCATCCATTCGTTCACTCGGTCAGTCAGTCTTTAAATGTCCTTGAGCACAGCTTGTGAATGGGCCTGCGGGAGACTCTGCCATCTGCAGTCCCGGTGGGGGCCAGGGCTCCAGCGTTAGCCTCAATTTCGTGTCTGCAGAGAGGTCTTTTCTGACTCGTTCAAGTTCGGCCCTCCACTCTTCTCCCCAGCTGCCACCACGCTCCTCTGCACCATGCACCTGTTTTCCTTATTGAGCACTTGTAAAAATCTGCAATTATCCACTGCATTTTCTTCATTCAGGTTCTATGTCACCTCTTTGCTAGAATGTTAGCTCCTCAGAGAGGGCCCCAGTTAGATTAGGGCTTCCCCTGTTCTGGAGTGCATCACATGCTTTCTCCACGTCTGCAGAAGGTGAAAGACACAAGCAGTAACAGACAAGCCTGTCTTCAGGGAGCCCTCCCATGTCACGGACAACCACAGATGCCGTGCAGCTACCATAGCATGTCCCCCATTCGCTCGTCACTCAGCGCTTACTGAGTGCCTGCTGTGCGCCAGGCCCTGGTGCACTGCAGGGGATGCACTGGTGAGTGACTGCCTGTTTGGTGATGTGTATGTTCTGGTTTGGGGGTGAGACATCAGTATGCGAGCACAGAGAGAATTTCAGCCAAGTGCCAAGTGTCTCCTTTCTGAGGCCTCTCTGTTCAGCTCTCTAACGTCACCTCCCCGTTCACACTCCTGCTTTCTTTTCATGTCCTGTTTTTTTTACTTCAAATGCTCGTTCACTGACTTGTGCGCTCCCTGACCCTCCGCCCGACAAGCATTTACTGTAGGAGCTCAGAGCCTGATGGTTTTTTCGGCACCTAAAATAGGCATATTACGAGCTTCTAAGCGTTTGCTCGATGAACGGACTTCATCCTGGTTCTCTTCTGGGCTGCGGGTCTGAGTGTCTCCCGCCAACCATGTGCACGTGCAAGAAGGAATGAGCGTGAACTATGAATTGGATTTGCATTGACCCTTCTGTCCTCTATCCGACTGCTCACGAAACACCTTTGAGCTCAGCTCTCTGTAAGGATAATGTGGCGGGTTATTTGGTGGTTTCTCTGCCTTCCCGTGTTAGTGTACGTAATCGAGACGGAAGGTAAGAGAGCAGAAACCCAGGAGTAAATTCACAAACCACGCTCCCCCGGGCAGACTGTTTGCTCCTGGTGGTGTCCCTGTGTTTGTGCACAGGGGGCAGGGGCTAGGGCACCATCACTCAGTCTGACCCAGGAAGAGCGGAATGAGTATGCCGCACCTTGTGGAGAAATAGAGCCTAAGAGATACTTGACATGAAGGCTCCTCTGAAAACAACACACTCAGATGATTCCGGAGGCCAGTCCTGTGCCTGTGGAGTCTTGTAGAGAATGTCATTCCTGGAGCACCTGGGTGGCTCAGTCGGTAAAACATCCGACTTCAGCTCAGGTCATGATCTCACTGTTCGTGGGTTCGAGCCCGGCATCGGGCTCTGCTAACAGCTAGCTCAGAGCCTGGAGCTCTGTTTCGGATTCTGTATCTCCCTCTCTCTCTGACCCTCCCCTGCTCATGCTTGCGTGCTCTCTTTCTGTCTCTCTCAGAAATAAATAAAACATCAGAAAAATTAAAGAAAAAAAAGAGAATGTCATTCCTAGCTCTTCATTTTCTAGATGAGGAAAGTGAGGCATAGATGAGGGGCAAAGCTCAGCAGCATGGACATAAACTTAGTTGTCCAAAGATGTGTAGAACTAGAGGAACATGGCTGGCGGCGCATAGTGTGACCTCAGCACGACTGCCATAAAGTCAGGTGGTGGTGGTGGTGGGGTGGTAATAAGTGCTCTCAATCTGGTGGTTTCTTTGTAGTCCCTGTGGGATTGTCACCAGACCACCAGCCACGCAGACTCAACTTTGCTTAGAACCGGCATTTCAAAAGGGACAAAGTAGCTATGACCTGGTCACAAAATAGGGCACAAACTTGTGGCCAGTGGTGGCAGTGTTTCTATGGCCTTGAGGTGATAATTCTAATTATATTTAGAGTTGCAGAATAATGGGTAGTGCATTAAAACACCAAGAGCCAAGTGACAATGTATCTTTTTAAAAAATGTGTATTTATTTATTTTGAGAGAAAGAATGAGTGAGTGTGTGAGCAGGGGAGGGGTTGGGGGGGAGAGAGAATCTCAACTAGTCTCTATGCTGTTAGCAAAGAGCCTGGCATTGGGCTCGACCCCACGAACCAAGAGATCATGACCTGAGTCAAAACCAAGAGTTGGACGCTTAACCGACTGAGCCACCCCGGAGCCCACGAAGTGTTTTCTTAAAGACCATACGAGACGCTGTTGGATTCAGTCCTCGGCAGTGGACGAGGGCTGGCAGATTACATGTGATAGTCCCCTCAGGACAGAGTCAGAACACAAAGTAGGACCCAGGGAGGTGTCATGGCCACGGGAATGTGCCTCTCAGGTTTCCAGGGCGAGACCTGACAACCCTGCCCGCTCCCCGCTGTCAGAGGCTACCTGCTGCCTTCGCCCACTGGTGGCCCCGCCAGGCTCCTGAGATGGGTCTGTTCCCCGGAGATGTGGACCCGCTGACAGTGCCGCGCCGCAGCCTGCCTGTGCTTCCCCTGCCTCCCCCATCCCCTCTCCCACCGCGGGTGACCTGCACGCCGTTTTGTGGCTCTCCCAGCATCCCCGTGGCCCCGCACTCCTCCTCACAGGCTTTGTCCCTAATAAACCCCTCATGTGGCTAATCCCACTGGGTCACCTGTTTCCCCGGGGACCCCGATGGACACAAGAGGCTGGGGCTGGGGCTGCCCCTGGGGCTCTGGTTGCTCACAGCAGTTTGGAGTCACCTTCCTGGCAGGGAGGAGCTGTGAGCTTCACGTCTGTAGTTTCTGGTTTGGGAGCCCAGGAACCACCTCCCTGCTGTCTCCCCCATGGGTCTGAGTGTATCATCAAAGCTTTCAGGCTGCTCTTTAACATCACACCCGCAACTCACAGGGTCCACCCCCCTGCAGCCTTCGCAGGCTTCAGCACAGCTGGGAAACAGCTCCAGGCTAGGGCTGCGTGGATAGAGGCTCCTTACTGAGCAGCCTCCCGACCACCGACCACCACCGACCACCGTCTCATCCCGTGCTGTGAGTTTCCTCTGTCTCCTCCCCGCAGGAATGTTGATGGTCTGCATCGTGATTGGCGCTCGGAAGCTTGGGGTCAACCCAGACAACATTGCCACGCCCATTGCTGCCAGCCTGGGAGACCTCATCACTTTGTCCATCCTGGCCTTTGTCAGCAGCTTCTTCTATAAGCACAAAGGTAAGAGGTGCCCCAGGGAGGAGGGGCCCACCAGCAAGGTTGGGTCCAGTGTCGGCCCCCAGCAAGCTCTCCCAACAAGGGTGTGCAGGGAGGCCGGGAGGGCCAGGCTGGCCTGGTCGCTTCATTGCGTCCTCATAGGTTAACAGAGCCTCCACGTGTAAGAAATGTGTCACACCAGACACGTACAAACCACCTGGGAAGGGACTCCCGAGGAGGACTGTCATAATCACGGTCAGCAGCATATGCTTTCCCTGCAGTCGTGAGGTAGAACCCCCAGTCTCCTCACAAGGTGGCCCAGGGCCCTGGTCAGCAGCCAAGTGTATGACAGGCCCTCATGGCCAGAGGCTCTGACTCCGCCAGGGGTCACCATTGGTCTGCGCTGGATCACAGTGAGCATGTTCCTGCCCTGGGCAGTGGGGACAGGCAGCACACCCCTTACCCAGGCGCGGACTGTTCCGCTCTGAGTGTCACAGTTTTCACTTGCCACCTACGCTGGCCGCCCACAGTGGCTTGGATATAATAGGTGCTGATTCCCAGCATGGTCACAACCCCGAGTGCCTGGGGGCAGGTGACATCAGTGAGTAGAGAGGACAGGGAAGAAGACAGCGGGCAGCAGTGGGGCATGCGGGGACACTTAGATGGAGGAAATGCCTAGACACAGCCACAGCCACAGCGAAGCCCCGGCATATCGTTGCCCCGTGGGAACGCGGACTCCGGACCGAGACAGATCACCCAGCAGTTACCTGCTGGCTGCTGAAGCGGACTGACAGAATACCTGTGACTTTCAGTGTCCGGGCGTTGAGAACCTCTCCCTCTCAGCTCTGGGACCGGCTCCTTGTCACCCCAGGAACTGCCTGCCACCAATATTATTTAATGGTTGGGGAATCCTCAAGGTTCCTTTAAGTGGCAATGAAGATCTGATGATAAGATGACCTGATTTTATTTTCAAACCAAACTGAATTTAAAGCAAGAAGATTTATGTATGTGTTGGTTAATCGAGTTTTATTTCTAAAACAAATACGAGTCACTGGTGTTTCCAGACCCTTCTTCTCCACCCTACTGTGCCCTCACTGAAATCGTGCATGTTCCAACACACAACTTACTAGCCGTTGAATCGTTGTTGGGTTGCCCATCCCTGGAATCTGTGGACGTGTCTCCGGTCAGTATAGTTGCAAACACAAGCCAGGTGTGGTGAAAGTATTCGTCACGGTGGTGGGAAAATATGAGGTGGAGCCTCTGCCAGGGTTCCTCGGTCATTCTAGAAAAATCAGACTGCGAAGAGGTCCTGCAGGGTGCACCCCTGTAGGCTGCTGCCTCCCAGAGCTTTCGAGAGTTGCTTAGAGCTTCCCGGGCCTGTCTTCAACTTCCTGAGATGGTGAAGAGGCTGGTCCCTTCCTCGATGAGGCACTTTGCCTATGGTCCACCTTGGGCACCTGTGGCCTGTGCTTCCATGTAGCTGCCAAAGAGATGGGCCTCCCAGTGGCAGAGGAATGGACCATGATTGCTCAGAGCAGAGAAAGACGGGATGGGGGGGGGGTTGCTCCCAATAATGCTGGTCAGAGAAATGGGGTGTGGGGCACAGACCCCCCTGCACACCTGTGAGCGATGGGGTCCACTTGGCAGAGGTGCGTGTACCACCGTGAGCCTGTCCTCTGGAGGTGGGGCTGCTGGTGAGAGGACAGTTCTAGAGAAAGCTGGTGTCCTGTTTGGTGTGCATTGGGAAGGTGTCACACAGAAGGTGACACAGGAAGGGAGAGAGTGGGAATGGTGGTGTGTGGGGCCCTGGCCTGGCTCCACGAACAGTCAGGTGTCCATTTTTGTGGCTCCAACCAGCAGAGAAGATGACACAGGGACATGCGTAGATGCAAAGGTGGCTGTGGTCTGGGTTCCGAGAGACCCATGGGTGCTGAGGAGGCCGCCTTGGGCTGGCCTCAGCCAGGAGCAGGATTGGCATCATTAAGCAACTCTGGCTGTGGCCCTGATGTCTGCTTGCTGCCTCGGGTCCTGGCGGGCCACCTCTCCATGCTGTAGTCCCTCCTGTGCCCGTCTGAGGGGGAATGGAGAACACGACATGAGCTTGTGGTCAGGAGGTGCTGGGCACAACGCTGGCCCGTAGACACAACCCCATAAATACAAGCATTAATAATAACAATAAGGTTGAGGTGGGAGGAGGTGGAAGATGGTACATATGTCAGGAAAACAGCACAAAGGAGAAGTAAAGGGGGCTGTGACAGGAACTGAGGACAAAGGGGAGCTCTGCCGGTTGCTTAATAAGAAACAATAAGAAACAATAAGAAAACAATCTTGAGAGGTAGGGCAGGTTGGTTCACCCTAAGCTGCCGGGGACAGAAGCGCCTCCTCAGCTCCAAGCCCACCTCTCATCATTATAGCCCAGACCCCTGGGCTCTGGGCCCTGGCACACACACCCTCCCCCGCCTCTCTCCTCCCAGATAATCGATACCTGACACCGCTGGTCTGTATCGGCTTCACGGCCCTGATCCCCTTCTGGGTCCTCATTGTCAAGCAGAACCCACCCAGCATGAAGATCCTCAAGTTCGGGTGGTTCCCAATCATCCTCGCGATGGTCATCAGCAGGTGAGCGTGAGCGAGGGCTGCGACCACCCCTTTTCTCCCCACGCCACCCCTGCCTGGCGTCTGCAGACAGGGAGAGCAGCCTGAGAGCTACCGAGCCTCTGGGAGGGAGGATTTAAATCTGGGTGTAAATCACCTTCTCGCTGATCACGGTTGGAGGGAATCGTTGCTGTGGGCTCCTTCACGAAGCCCCAGTTTTGGTTGTTGAGTCTGTCTTCATCTCTTTCCCTCTCACCAAGAACCATAGGCCTTATTTATTCCGGGAGGCAGTCCTGTTTGCAATTGCAGGAGCACCAGAGGGCCAGGAAGAGCTGAATCCAGAAACATCAGCTGAGCACACTCAGGCCTTCAGCTGAGTCTTCCACCCTCGAATATCACTCTTCAGAGCCCTTTCTGTTCGTAGACCTGTATGAGGGCCACCTGAATGCGTTCTGGGGCTCCTGACTTTGAATCTCAAGGAGAAGCACTTGTGGTCTGTGCTTCCAGAAGGCTCCTGGGCTCCTTTTGCAAACTGACCCAACCTTGCCAGGACTATAGGGCAGGACAGCCTTTGCTAAGTCCAGGGCCCAGTAGGAGTGAGGCCCTTTGCGGCATCTCTGAGAAGCAGCAGCAGGAGCGGACATTCATGCGGGTTCCATTTTCTGCTCAGGAAAAGAGCAGCTCAGTGGTGGTACAGGAGCTGTCATGTGGGAGAGTCCAGCCAGCTTCGCGGCCTTGCAGAGGAGTTTGTAACTTGTTTTTACTGTAACTTGTTTTATCTGATGGGCCTTCTGGAACAGCCGAGGCTCAGAAGAGAGGTGGAGAGCCGTGTGTGTGGCGCAGAGGACGCTGTGGAGACCAGCTTGGATATCAGATACTTTGAGCAGGGGTCAGGAAAGTGTTTGCTAAGCTAGGAAGGAAACTGAGAAGACATTTTGAAAAACAATGTTTTTTTACTGTTTGTATATTTTTGAGAGAGAAAGAGACAGGGCATGAGACGTGTAGGGGCAGAGAGAAAGAGAGAGATTCCAAAACAGGCTCCAGGCTCTGAGCTGTAAGCACAGAGCCCGATGTGGGGCCCGAACTCGGGAACAGCGAGATTATGACCCAAGCGGAAGTCGGACGCTCAACCGACTGAGCCACCCAGGCGCCCCTGATAAGACATTTTGTACAGAGGTGTACCAGGTCCCCTACAAGGGTCACCTCATCATTTGACTGCCTTATGCTCTCTCCCCAGCTTTGGAGGGCTCATCTTGAACAAAACCGTGTCTAAAAAACAGTACCAAGGCATGGCCGTATTTACTCCCATCATATGTGGTAGGTATCGAGGGTCGTGTCACCTGGGAGCCCTGGGCTTGGCTGCCTCCAGGCCTGGGCAGAGTCCGGAACCTGAGCCATGGCTATGTTGCTGTGGGCGGGGACTACCGGGCTGGTGTTCCTCACGCCGAAGGAGACCCTCAGGGAGAAAGCCCTGCCCGCTGCTCTATCAGCTCACAGTCTTGTCCTCACAATCGCCACGGAGACCTGAGCTGTCCCACAGAGCTACATCCCAGGCCTTGAAGGCACAGCTAAGCCAGGCTTCCCTGGCGCAGGATCGTGGCCTTCAGAACTGGGGTGTTGGCTTCTCGTGGTTTGTTTGAACATTTACTTGTTTCTTAAATTTAGATTCTACTGGTAACATTTAAAAAATTTTTTTAATGTTTAATTTCTTTCTTTTTTTTTAATTTTTTAATGCTTTATTTATTTTTGAGACAGAGAGAGAGACAGCGTGAGCAGGGGAGGGTCAGAGAAAGAGGGAGTTACAGAATCCAAAGACAGGCTCCAAGCTCTGAGCTGGCAGTCAGCACAGAGCCCGACGCGGGGCTCGAACCCACGAACCGTGAGATCATGACCTGAGCCAAAGTCGAATGCTTAACCGACTGAGCCACCCTGGTGCCCCTGTTTAATTTATTTCTGAGAGAGAGAGAGAGAGAGAGAGAGAGAGCGTGAGCAGGGGAGGGGGCAGAGAGAGAGGGAGACACAGAATGTGAAGCAGGCTCCAGGCTCTGAGCTGTCAGCACAGAGCCCTACTCAGGACTCGAACCACGAGATCATGAACCGCGAGATCATGACCTGAGCCGAAGTCGGACACTTAACCGACTGAGCCACCCAGGCGCCCCTCATTGATAACATTTAAAACTCAGACTTTTGCACATAAAAATCTGGACTTCTATCGTCTTCAAAAGCAAGACTGTGACAGTACTGAGTTTACATTCTGGGTGAGGCAAGAAGCAGCTGCCACTCAGACAGGACTTGGGTTTGTCCGGTTGGCCCGACTCCCCTCCATTCCCTGTCGTTTTCCACCCGAACTTTCTCTGATTTCCCTTCTAGGGTTAGACCCTGTGGGCTCTTTTAAACAAAGGTTGGTTTGTGGCTGGCTTCTGATAAGGATCTGTGAATGGGACTGACCAGTCAGGAAGGGAACCAAACGTGGTAACTTTGCGCACACTTTGCTTGGTCCAGGGCCCTGGTGTCCTGGGGCCGCAGAAACAGGCTATGGAGGCTTCGGGCACCCCCTCTCCCCACTTCGTGGGAACCCAGGTGATTACTCCTCGCATGTTAGTGGGCCTCTTTAGCGGGTCTGCCCTCAGGAGAGGCAGGGCTTGCCCCTCACACAGGGAGCTGGTCATGTTGAGGACAGGCTGGAGCTTAGAAATATTTCCTAGGATGTCACCAACTCAGATGACTCTGGGGCCACAGAAGGGTGAATGAGTTCAGCAAGTATGACACTAGGTGGGCAGTAAGGAGCAGCGGGGAGCAGGCCAGGCTGTCTGCTCAGCTCCAGCCACTTGCTGCCTGGACAGAGGTCCGGAGTTGCCAGAACTGACTTGTTAGGAATAGCCAGCAATCCGTGTAAAAGCTAACAGTTAATTTGAGTTGTATTTTTAAATACCCCCCCTTTTTTTTTAAATCACGTGGACTGAACAAAACATATGTGCAGCCGTCCTCTGCCCACAGACCTTTGCATCCAGGGTTGCTGGTCTCAACCTGTGGAGAGCACCGGGGCACATCTGGCCCAGCTGGGGGTTATCCCCCGGGGGCTGAGAAACTAAGATGCAGGCAGCCTGTCCACAGGCCCCCTTCTCCATCAGCCCCAAATCCTGGCCCTGCAGAGAGAGCTCAGCGTGGCCTTTGTCATCTGGCCACGGTCCGTTCCCTGCGGAAGCCGGGAGCCTCAGCGGTAAGGCCCAGGCTGGCGCCTAGCTCTTCCTTCTTGCCTTGCTTGCTGCTGTCACCCACTTCCTCATCCACCTCCTTCCCAACTCAGGTGAAAAAATCCTTTCATTTTCTCAGATATTCCAGTGTATAATCAGATCCCGGTCACTTCCGGCGGCCTTGAGGGGCTTACCAAGATTTCCTCCAGGGGCACCTGGGTGGCTCAGTCGGGTAAGCGTCCGACTTCGGCTCAGGTCATGATCTCACAGTTCGTGGGTCCGAGCCCCGCGTCAGGCTCTGTGCTGACAGCTCAGAGCCTGGAGCTGCTTCGGATTCTGTGTCTCCCTCTCTCTCTGCCCCTCCCCTGCTCACGCTGCCTGTCTCTCTCTCAGAAATAAATAAAACATTAAAAAAAAAAAGTTTGCCTCCAATAGACCTTCCCATCACTTCCTCCTCCTCTCCCTCCCTCTACCCGACAAATCTGTATTATAAACCTACTTTGCCGGCCATACTTCCTTCACCATAAGAGGCAGATGTCAAGGTGATAGAGTTAATACCTTGGCACTTCACTCACAAGGTCTAGTTTACCCTTGCTTGGGGCCAGACGTACTCTGTGGTAAAGTGGGAGGGAAGGAAAAGAGATCAAGTGCTGAATCGATCAAGGAAGGCTCTCTGGAGGAAGTAGACTTAAAATTAGGGATGGACCTTAGAAACTGGCATAAACCGGGGGAAACCCCGTCTCTTTCTCCTCCCAGGTGTTGGTGGCAATCTGGTGGCCATTCAAACCAGCCGGATCTCCACCTACCTGCACATGTGGAGCACGCCTGGTGTTCTCCCCCTCTGGATGAAACAATACTGGCCCAACCCATGCTCCACTTTCTGCACCTCAGGTGAGTCTGGTGTCTTCCAGAAGCCGTGTGGCCATTTCTTTCAGCAAGTAAAAATTGTCACTGGAGTCTGGTGTCTGTAGCAACAGAGGTCTAAGAACAGTGCTGACCTCAACACGGATCATCTTCAAGGACAGCAGGTCTCCCAGAGACCTGACTCTGACGCCTGCCTTTAGTTGATTGATCAATTCATTCATTCATTCTTTCTTTCATTCATTCAAATATTCATTGAAAGTCGGCCAGCTACTAGATGTCAAGTTATAGAGTGAGGAGTCAGGAAAAGCGGATTCTTACCCCCATGTACATACATGGTCCAGAAGAGCAGATATGGGGTGCCTGGGTGGCTCGGTTGGTGGATCGCCCAACTTTTGATTTTTGGCTCAGGTCGTGACCCCAAGGTTGTGGGAAAGTCTCTGTCTTTCTCCCCCACTGGTACTCTCTCCCTCTCTGAAAGCAAAAACAAAAAAACAGAACAGTAGATAAACACACTAAAAAAGGAGCTCTTGACTATATATTGTGACTTTTTTTTTTTAGTTTTATTTATTTCTGAGAGAGAGAGAGAGAGGGAGAGACAGCGTGAGCAGGGGAGGGTCAGAGAGAGAGGGAGACACAGAATCTGAAGCAGGCTTCAGGCTCCAAGCTGTCAGCACAGAGCCCGACACGGGGCTCGAACCCATGAACCGCGAGATCATGACCTGAGCCAAAGTCAGACGCTTAACTGACTGAGCCCCCCAGGCGCCCCATACTGTGACATGTTTTAAAGGACACAGGCACAGGGTGCAGTGGAAGAAGTTACAGGAGATACTGAGATTTGGGGTTGGAAAGTTCCTCTTTGAGGATGACGGGTGGTTTGGGAGGAAGGAGGCGTGCTAGACCAAGGGGAGCATTTGAGGCAGGGAGGACAGCCTGAGCAAAGGCTCAGAGTTAGGATGGAGCTTGGTAAACCTGAGGAAGTAAAGGCCAGCGAGACCTGAGCATGATGAGCAGAGGAGAGGATGGAGGAAGCTGAGGGCAGAGAGGGAGAGGGGAGTTGATAGTTATAGAGCCTTGAGGCTTGAGGAAGGTGACTTATTTCTATTTTGAGAGCCACCGGAGACTATTTCTTTCTGTTACTTTAAAAATTTGGATCTTTTCTCCTGTTGTATTTTTCTTTTATCATTTCCTTTCTGTTTCAAGAACTACCTTTAGCCATTCTTTCAGGGTAGGTTTGCTGGCACGTTCCTGAAGGCTATTTTTGCTGGATATAAAATTCGGGATTGATGGTTCTTTTCGGCACTTGGAAAATGTGCCACTTCCTTCTGATTTCCCTGGCTTCACATGAGAAATTGCTGTCGTTTGAATTGATTCTATTGTATACGTAAGGTGTCATTTTCTTTTGTTTATTTCCAGACTTTTTCTTTAGTTTTTAGACTATGATCTATGATGTACCTTGGTATGGATTTCTTAGGGTTTTTCCACATGTGGGGTTCGTTCAGCTTCTTGAATGAATAGATTTACATTTTGTCAAATGTTGGAAATTATAAGCCATTATTTCTTGAATACTCTTTCAGCCCCACTCTTCTTTTCCTGTGACTCTGATGACATGAATAATAGAGCTTTTGGTAGAGTCCCATAAGCCCCTGAGTCTCTGTTCAGTTCTCCCCACCCCCACCCTAGCCTATTTAACCCTCTCTTGTGCCGATAAGCTCATTTTCATCATTTTTTTTTCAAGTTCACAGATTTTTTCCTCTGTCTTCTCCAGTCTGCTATTCACTCCTTTCAATGAGTTGTTTTAGGCTTTTGGCTACTATATTTTTTTAGTTCTAAAATTTCCATATGGTTTTTCTTTGTATCTTTGTTTCTTTTCTGAGACTTTCTATTTTACCAAAACTTTCTAATTGTATCCTTTGTTTCAAGTGTGTTTGTAATTGCTGGTTGAAGCACTTTTATAATGGATTCATTAAAATTGCTTTCAGATAATTCTACCATCTTTGTCGACTCATTCATAGTGTCTTTTCTCATCATGTTGAGATTGTTTTCTTTTTTCTTTTTTTTTAAATTTACATCCAAGTTACTTAACATATATGATTTCAGGAGTTGAATGCAGTGATTCATCCCTTATGTAAAACTCCCAGTGCTCACCCCAACAAGTGTCCTTCCTAATGTCCCTTATCCATCTAGCCCATCCCTTCACCACCTCCCCTCCAGCAATCCTCAGTGTGTCTTCTCTGTTTAAGAGTCTCTTAAGTTTTGTTGCCCTCCTTGCTTTTATATTATTTTTGCTTCCCTTCCGTTTTGTTCATCTGCTTTGTATCTTAAATTCCTAATATGAGTGAAGTCATATGATATTTGTCTTTCTCTGACTAATTTTGCTTAGCATAATACCCTCTAGTTCCGTCCTCATAGTTGCAAATGTAAGATTTCATTCTTTTCGATTGCCAAGTAATACTGTGTGTGTGTGTGTGTGTGTGTGTGTGTGTGTGTGTGTGTGTGTGTATACATTCTGCATCTTATTTATCCATTCATCTGTTGATGGACGTTTGGGTTCTTTCCATACTTCGGCTATTGTCGATAGCACTGCTATAAACCTTGGGGTTCATTTGCCCCTTTGAAACAACACACCTATATCCCTTGGATTAATACCTAGTACTGCAATTGTTGGCTCATAGATTAGTTCTATTTTTAATTTTTTGAGGATCCTCCATACCGTTTTCCTGAGTGGCTGTACCAGTTAGCATTTCCACCAGCAGTGCAAAAGAGATCCTCTTTTTTACATCCTCGCCAATGTCTGTTGTTGCCCGAGTTGTTTATCTTAGCCATTCTGACAGGTGTGAGGTGGTATCTCATTGTGGTTTTGATTTGTATTTCCCTGATGATGAGTGATGTTGAGGATTTTTTCATGTGTCTATTAGCCATCTGGATGTCCTCTTTGGAGAACTGTCTGTTCATGTCTTTTGCTCATTTCTTCACTGGATTTTTTTTTTTGGGGGGGGGTGTTGAATTTGGTAAGTTGTTTGTAGATTTTGGATACTAACTCTTTATCTGATATGTCATTTGCAAATATCTTCTCCCATTCCTTCGGCTGCCTTTTAGTTTTGCTGATTGCTTTTGCTATGCATAGCTTTTTGTCTTGATGAGGTTCCAAGAGTTCATTTTGGCTTTTATTTCCCTTGCCTCCAGAGATGTGTTGCAGAAGGAGTTGCTGCAGCTGAGGTCAAAGATGTTTTTGCCCACTTTCTTCTTGAGGATTTTGATGGCTTCCTGTCTGATGCTTAGGTCTTTCATCTGTTTTGAGTTTATTTTTGTGTGTGGTGTAAGAAAGTGGTCCAGGTTCATTTTTCTGCATGTCTCTGTTCAGTTTTCCCAGCGCCATCTGCTGAAGAGACTGCCTTTATTCCATTGGATATTCTTTCCTGCTTTGTCGAAGGTTAATTGGCCATACATTTGAGAGTCCATTTCTGGGTTCTCTAATCTGTTCCGTTGATCTGAGTGTCTGTTTTTGTGTGATTTCCATACTGTCTTGATGATTACAGCTTTATAATACAGCTTTAAGTCCAGGACTGTGATGCCTCCAACTTTGGGTTTCTTTTTAGGATTGCTCTGGCTATTCAGGATCTTTTCTGATTCCATACAAATTTTAGGATTGTTGGTTCTAGCTAGTGAAGAATGCTGGTGTTATTTTGATAGGCATTGCTTTTGATATGTAGATTGCTTTGAGTAGTATTGACATTTTAACAATATTTGCTCTTGCAATCCAGGAGTATGGAATATTTTTCCATTGTTTTTGTGTGTGTCTTCTTCAATTTCTTTCATACGCTTTCTATACTTCTCAGTGTATATATTTTTCACCTCTCTGGTTAGACTTACTCCTCGGTATTTTATGGTTTTTGGTGCCGTTGTAAATGGGATCGATTCCTTGATTTCTCTTTCTGTTGCCTCATTATTGGTGTATAAGAATGCAGCTGATTTCTGTGCCTTGATTTTATATCCTGCAACTTTGCTGAATTCATGGCTCAGTTCTAGTGGGTTTTTTGGTGGAATCTTTTGTATTTTCCATGTGGAGTATCATGTCGTCTGTGAAGAGTGAAAGTTTGACTTCCTCCTTGCCTCCCTGCCTTTTATTCCTTTGTGTTATCTGATTGCTGAGGCTAAGACGTCCAATACTGTGTTGAATAACAGTGGTGAGAGTAGACATGTCTGTCGTGTTCCTGATACTAGGCCGAAAGCTCTCCATTTTTCCCTGTTGAGGATGATATTAGCAGTGGGTCTTTCATATGGCTCTTGTGATCTTGAGGTACAGTCCTTCTCTGCCTACATTCTTGAGGGCCTTAATCAAGAAAGGATATTGTATTTTGTCAGATGCTTTCTCTGTATCGAGAGGATCATGTGCTTCATGTCTTTTCTTTTATTAATGTGCTATGTCACATTGATTGTTTTGTGGATGTGGAACCAGCCCTGCCTCCCGGGTGTATATCCCACTTGGTTGTGGTGAATGATTCTTTTAATGTATTGTTGGATCAGGTTGGCTAGTATCCTGTTGAGTATTTTTGCATCCGTGTTCATCAGGGATATTGGTCTGCAGTTCTCCTTTTTAGTGGGGTCTTTGTCTGATTTTGAAATCAAGATAGTGCTGACTTCATAGAATGAGTTGGGAAGCTTTCCTTCCATTTCTAATTTTTGGAACAGCTTCAAAAGAATAGGTGCTAACTCTTCTTTAAATGTTTGGTAGAATTCTCCTGGAAAGCCATCTGGCTCTGGACTCTTGTTTTTCTGGGGGATTTTTGATTACTAATTCAGTTTCTTTACTGGTTATGGGAATTTTTTTTCTTCTGTAAGAAGTGATTTTAGAGTAAATCCCGGGCAGTTGAGGTGTAGGTTATTAAATTCTAGATCTTATTTAAGTCTTTTTTAGCTACTTCCTCTGCCACTGGACCATTGAAGGGAAAAATGCATTGCTTCCTTACTGCCTCGTGGGGCTGGATTGCCCTATCTCTATTCACACACTGGGCAAAGAGGAACAGCTCATTGCTGGTGGTCTGGCGGGAAGCCTGTGTTCCTCTGACCCCTCGTTGAGGGGAAGAGGGATGCCTTGTTACTGCTCCTCACATGACCTTCATCGACATAGCTCAGGGAGCTCATTACCACCAGGCAGAGTACCACTTACTCTCCACTCAGTCTTCTCTTATCCCACATCAGCCAGAGGGGGTGAGCACCACATTCCACATAGACTAGGTCAGAGACCAGGCTCCCCACCTGGCCTTTGCTGTTGAGTGTGGGACTGCAGTCTTTCCTGTGATGTTTGGCTGGAATAGAGCAGCTGTTGTCTAGAAGTTTTTGCTTTGCTAGGCTGTCCCTCTTCTGCACCTTTGGCTAGATAGAGCAGGCTTGTTGAGTCTTTTCTTTTTTGGACTTGCCCATTGACAAGTTTGGCTTGCTGACTTCTCCAGGATCCAGTCTGGGATATATGAAGTAAACCACCCCCACCCCCAAAACACCAACACAACAACCCAGGGAACTTACCTCTGTGTTGTTTGTTGAATCCCGAGGTCCCTGGCCAGCCCACTTTTTCTCTCCACCTTTTTAAGTCTTGTGTTTGTTTTATACAGAATGTCCAGTATTATAAAAAAAATTTTTAATGTTTTATTTATTTCTGAGAGAGAGACAGCATGAGCAGGGGAGGGTCAGAAAGAGGGAGATACAGAATCTGAAGCAGGCTCCAGGCTCTGAGCTAGCTGTCAGCATAGAGGCCGACGCGGGGCTCGGACCCATGAACTCTGAGATCATGACCTGAGCCAAAGTCGGACGCCTAACTCACTGAGCCACCCAGGTGCCCCATGTCTAGCGTTTTTAGTTCTGTTTAGTGAGAGGAATAGGAAGAGGTGTGTCTACCCTCATTTGTCTTAAAGTGGAAATTCCCATTATTTGTTCTAGTTCTGGGAACCACATTTTATCTTTTTTTTTTATTTCAATTTTAGTTAACATCAATTCAGTGTTGGTTTCAGGAGTAGAATTCAGTGATTCATCACTTACATACAATACTCAGTACTCATCACAAGTCCCCTCCTTAAAACCCATCACCCATTTAACCCATTCCCCAGCCCACCTCGCCCCCAGAAACCCTTAGTTTGTTCCCTTGTCATTGGGAGTCTCTTATGCTTTGTTTCCCTCTATTCTCTCTTCATGCCCACCTTCCCATATATTCATCTGTATTGTTTCTTACATTCCACATATGAGTAAAATCATACGGTTATTTGTCTTTCTCCAATTGACTTATTTTGCTTAGCATAATACATCCTAGCTCTATCCACATCACTATAAATGGCAACACTTCATTTTTGATGGCTAATTTATAATCCATTGTGTGTATGTGCACACACACACACATGCCACATCTTCGTCAATCAGTCAATGGACATTTGGACTCTCTCTATAGTTTGGCTGTTGTTGATGATGCTGCTGTAAACATTGGGGTGCACATACCCTTTTGTATCCTTTGGGTAAATATCTACTAGTGCAATTGGTGGTTTGTTCCTATTATATTTTCTGATTTGTCACTTGTGTTTGCAAAATCTATTTCTATTTCTGTACTTTTGTGCCTTTCCTGGTTCAGGCTGCTATAATAGACGCATAGAATGACTGGCTCATAAACACGAGAGACTTATATTTTATAGTTGTGGTGGGTGGAAGTTGAAGATCAAGGCACTAGCAAATTCTAGCAGGTGATTGCCTGCTTCCTGGTTCACGGCTATCTTCTCACTGTGTGCTCACACGATGGAAGGGGTGAAGAGGCTTTCTGTGGTCTCTTATAGCTTATAAGTTAGAAGCACTAATGCCGTGCATCAGTGCTCTACCCTACCCTTATGACCTAATCACCTCGAAATACCTTCACACTCGGGATTAGTTATAGTATAGGGATCTGAGTGGTGGAAGCGAGGAGGGGTATGGACAAACATCCAATGCATAGCAGCCCCTAAATATTTTACCGAATTCTTATTTACGTTATGTCTCTATAGAGTCTCTTGAGTTTTAGTGCCAACAGCCATTAGTAACTATTTTGCTTCTACTTTTTCTTTTTTTCTTTAAGAATCTTCTCACACCTTGTCTGATTTTTCATCATGAGTAGATTTTGGAGCTCTTGTGTTTTCTCACCATCTTTCTACATATGTTTATTGGTAGTGTTTTTGGCTTCTAAGCTATATGATTCCCCCCTTCTTTCTTATGAATTTGATGAAATATATTAGCTCAGAGACAAATGGAGACTTTCTACTGAAATTCTTTGTTTCTGTTTGAAGAGTCAGTTGCATTCACACATGACAGCTCTTAAGAGTGTGTGTGTGATTGGGGCAGGGAAGTCACACTTCTTGCAGAGTCTCAGATCCTTAGAGGTCTGTAGCCAAAAGAGAAATGTGCTGAATGGATCCCAGAGGCTTAACGTGAGGAAGGGGCCTCCTTATGAGTGTGCCAGCCCTCAGGCTTCACCCACTGAGCCTTCTTTCCTCCACATTCCACAGCTACCTTCAGCCCCGGGCACATTCTGTTTCCTGTGCCCAGAATGCTCTCCTCCAGATTCATGTCTCAGCCTGGGTGTCCTCTTTTTAGAGCGTTTAGTGCCCGGTAGCTCATCTTACTGGTGCACACCTGAATCTCTAAAACCAAGACCCATGTTTCCTAGCACTGGTCACAGTTTGAAATGACCTTTCTTGTTTGTTTTTGCTACTCGAGTCTGTTTTTTTCTTTCTTTCTCTCTCTCTTCCCTAAAATGCCAGTTCCATGAAGGAAGGGACAGAACTATATCCCCACCTACTAGAACATGCCTGCCACATAGTAGGTGCTCAGGAAACACTTGGGTAGTAGATAAATGAACGCGGATGCCTCACGGGAGACTAAAACATGCCACGGTGGTCCCTGCTGCCTGACAAGTCACACAAACCTCCATGGTTTTGTCTTTTCCAGAAATTAATTCCGTATCAGCCCGAGTCCTGCTCTCTCTGGTGGTCCCGGGCCATCTGATTTTCTTCTACATCATCTACTTGGTGGAAGGCCATTTGGTCCCACATAGTAAGATCTTTGTGGTGTTCTATCTGCTAGCAAGCCTGATGCAGGTAAGGATGACTGTGAGTAGCATCGAAGCGGCCTTCAGTGGTTAGTCAGCCAGCAAGATTAATCTCTCTGACCTGGGAGAGATGCCGAGGGGGTGAGGTTGGGGGGCTCCTGGACATGGCAGGGCGTGGACCCCCATCTTCCAAGAGTCAGCTTGTTCAAGCTCAAGGATGTGATCCAGACACAGAGGTCACTCCACAGTCTGCACTGCACACTTCACACAGCACATTCCACACTGCATACTGCACAGGACACATTTCACACTCCACGCAGCATGCTCCCCGGTACCCACAGCACGCTGCACATGACGCAATTTACACCGGACACTCACTAAACCTCCTCTTCCCACAAGGCACCATCCAGACTGCATATAGCACACACTGCGCACTCCTCACCAGGAGATCAGAGCGTGGTCCTGAAGGTACAGCAAGTTGCCCTGAAGCAAGCTGGTGCGCGGGTCCAGCTGAGGAACTGAGACCATGCACATCACTCATCACAGACAGGGTGGGCAGGGACCACGTGCCTGCTGGGATGGTGCTAAAACACGTGGGTGTTTTATCACCGGGTGGCGATAAGGACATGACGAAAGAGACGAATCTGATGCCTGCCTCTGGGTAAGACTCAGCCGACTGTCTGCCCAGAGGCAGTCCGGGCATTTGCAGCTGCAGCCTGTCCCTGATCCTGAAGGATGGGCTGCGGTAATCTGAGAAACTGTCCTGAGCAGGTGCATGAAGGGGCTGGGGTCCGCCTGGGACAAGGGACCGAGGAGCTCTGAAGTGAGACCAGGACCATGCAGACTACCCTGTGGTGCCTTTAGGAAAGGCTTACTCGCCACAGCTGCTCAGGCAAGGGGCTGTAGCAAACCCTAACCTATCCGTGTCTTGCGTCTCTAAGGAAGGTGAGAAGAGCCAGCGTAGCAGAGGCTGTCTGGCACCTCAGGGTGCTGCGAGCGGGGCCTGACCACCGGGAGGGGGACGAGGCAAGTGTGGATGATTGTGGACTTTCTGGCGTCCGCGTGAGCTCAGAGCTGGCCACTGACCCGGGAGAAGCTGCAGGAAGGGGACCCCCTGGGGTGCCGTGTCCACGCTAGTATCTGCCTTTGAAATCTAGTGTTTCTGGGTGACGCTTGGCTTTCTGACTTAGTCGTCGTCCTTTGTGTCTGCTCACTCTTACGACAGGTGACAATTCTGTTGTACCTGGCAGAAGTGCTGGTCCGGCTCACGTGGCACCAGTCCCTGGATCCAGACAGCCACTGCATCCCCTACCTCACAGGGCTGGGGGACCTGCTAGGCACCGGCCTCCTGACACTCTGCTTTCTTATCAACTGGTTACTGAGGAGTGAAGCTGGGCTGGATGGCATCTCGGAACCAACGTCTGGACCTCCCTAATGAGCCCAGGCAGCCCTGTTCGCTCCGTAGAATTTTCCTTCCCACGAGCAGGGTGCAGAATCCAGTTTCGCCCTGGGTGGGTTCTCAGGAAGTTTGGTTAACACCCTGCCTCTGCAGTGGCCCTTCGTCCGTCTGCCAGGGCACTGGCGCATCTGGACTCTGGAGTTGGAGACGGAGGCGGTAAGGGTGAGGGAGGCCTGAAATCAGAGGCAGTGTTCGTGTGCATGTGGCTGCATGTTCCTGGGCTTGAGTGTGCACTCATGTGCTGGGCGAGTGCAAATGAGTGCACGCGCGTGTGTGGAGAGCCGGGGATTCTACCCTGAGGACGCTGAAGGAAGAGGCATGTCCAGTGCACTGGGGGGACGTGGGGCCCTGCTGTGCGCCCACACAGCCTGGACTGGGGAGGAGCAGGAAGGAAACTACTTCTCTGCCCAGACCTCAGGACTGTGCTGTGGCTTAACCACAGGCTTCACTAGGTCCAAGCTTCATGGGACATTCTGCTGATGTGCCTGCAAATGTGCAGCCCTTCCCAGGACAGCCCCTCCTTGCACCCCCTCGTCATCTGCTCTCGGCATTTAATCCTGTCGCTGTTTTACTCCTTCTTTTTTTATATTGAAACAAAACTTCTGTTTAGACATTAGCGATCAGAGAAGTATAAAATAAAACGTGGATTATGTTGCACTTGGTCTTTTGTGTCTTTAAAGGTAGTTACTGCAACCATGAGACTTGGGGTCTGTAACAAAACCTCTGGCATTTAGCCAGCGTCTGTTTCTCAAACGGTCAGAAGCAGTTTCTCCAGCAGAGAAGCATCAAAGTCACAGGGAAAATTGTTAGGCGTGCAGGTTGTGAGTCCTCCTTCCCCTGGGCCTGCGGGTCAGCCTGTCTTGGGGTGGGGTCAGCAGTGTAGGTTAACAAGCCTTCTGTGTTGTTCTGATGCACGGTCACATTTGAGAACCACAGCTCCAGAATGCCTTCACTTTTTAAAATAGACGTTTACTTCCTGTTTCTTATTCACTCATCTTAACAACATTAGCCACGATTTGGACTGAGGATTATTATCTTCATAGGGCGACACAGGTATTTACTTATTCATGTCATCTTGAAGACATGTGGGAGACAGGTCAACACTGGAGATGCATACAGTTCATTGACTGAGGACATCACCAGGTATATGCCCTCTTGCTAGAATGAGGGAAGTTTCTGGGATAAATTTTTCTGCCAGGCTGAGGTCAACACTGGGGAGGAATTTTTCTGTAGAGAGGAGGTAAACATGAGGATTGAACATAGCTTTCACATTGAAATCCTCACAGATCTATCCATGTGCATGTCTGAGATCATCATCAGAGATGAACCCACATGAGGTAAGGTTATCACTGGAAATGATCCCTAATGCAGGGCTGAAGTTAGTGTCCGGGGTGAATTTTTTCTGTGGGGTAAGGTCATCATTCGTGTTGAAGCCAGCTGTAGAACTGAGGGCCCCGTCAGGAATAAATCCTCATAAGGACAGACTGCTGCAGCGCCAGTACTGAGGTCAGCATCTAGCCGAATCTAGCTACGGTGCTGAAGTGGCCATCAGGGTTAAATCCACACACAAAGCTGAGGAATTATTGGGCATAAATCTGGTTATGGAGCTGAATATCTTATCTGGGATGAATCCTGCTGTGGGACTGAAGTTAGGATCTGGGTTAATTTTATCTATGGAGTTTTGATAAGAATGAGGGGCAGAAGTGGGTCTAGGGTTCCATTAAACTTCGCAACCAAAGCTCTGCGTGCTCTGACTGATAAGTCAGTGTCAAGGGCCTGAATCAGGCAGAAGGAAAAAGTCAATTCCTTGGTCTAAGTCACGCTTGTTTAGATCCAGTTAAGTTCACAGTCAGATGTAGATCTGGTCTGGACAATAGACAGGAAGAGGATGAGGATATGAATCAAGGTGGAAGTCAAGGTCACATTCAACATCAGTATTAAGTTTAAGGTCAGTTTATAGTTACAGTCAAGATCAGTTCCAAGACCAGGAACATATAGACCATTCCTGACTTACGATGATTGGACTTCTGATTTTTCCACTTTACAATGATGTGAAAGCAATCTGCATTCAATGGAAACTATACTTCAAATTTTGATTTTCATTCTTTTCCTGGACTATTATGATATGGTATGATACTCTCTGGTGATGTGGGGCAGTAACAACAGCTGTAGCTCTCTGTCAGCCAAGCAGTTGTGAGGGTTAACATTAATCTACTCACAACCATTCTGTACCCATACAATCATTCTGTTTGTCACTTTCAGAAGTGTTCAAATTATAGGAGATATTCAATACTATGTTATCTAATAGGCTTTATGAGAAATGATTGAGCTATGATGTTTGATAGATTAGGTGTATTTTTAGCATATGCTATGTTTAACTTAAAATGGGTTTATTGGGATGTAACCCCATTATGAATTGGGGAGAATCTATTCAAGTTAACAATAATGGCCACACATGTCCTTGATGATTAGATAAAGAATTGGGTGTCAATCATGGTCAAGATCAAGGTCAAGTTCATAGTTTGATCTAGGTGTTATCTTGAACAACAGGAACCAGACGAGGAGCTGAATCAAGGTCAAGGTTAATTTCACAGTCACTTTAATGTCAAAGTCCTATTAAGGATCAAGGTCAAGTATGAGGTTAAGGTTAAGGTCATGTGTTAAGACATAGTTCAAGGTTAATATCAAGGCCAATTTCAAGTTCCTATTCTGGAGTAGACCTATACATGAGAGTGTGAGACCAGTGGTGGCCTGAATTATGACCAAAGTCATGATAAAATTCAAGTTCAGGATCAAAAGTCAAGGTCAAGTTCCAATTCAATGTCAAGATCATGGTTAAAGTCAAGTTTATATTTAGACATGGGTCTGGATGAGAGTCTGGGACAGAATATGGTCTAAATCAGGGTCAAGGTAAAGGCAGATTTCAATGTGTTAAGCTCAAGTTAAAGGTCAAAGTTAGGAGGACTTGGGCAACACATAGTATGGATTTTAATCAGGAGCAAAAAGTAAGTCTGATAGTCTCAAGGTCAAGATCAAAGTGAAATTCAAGCTCAGATTCAAAGTCTGGGCCACGTTAAAGGCTCAGATCAGTTAAAAGACAAGCTAAAAAACCAAGCTAAATTTCAACCTCAGGGTCAACATTACAGTTAACGTCAAGGTCCAAGACAAGTTCAAGTTGTAGTTCACAATATGGGCTATGCATGATAAAGTGGGTCTGAATCAGGGTTTATATCAAAGTCAAGGAGACATTTAAAGGACAGGTCACCCTTGGTGTGACCGGGTGGCTAAGTTGGTTAAGCTTCTGTTGGTTTTGGCTCAGGTCATGATCTCACAGTTTGTGAGATAGAGCCCCGCTTCTGGCTCTGTGCTCACAGCATGGAGTCTGCATGAAATTGTCTCTCTCCATCTTCCCCCCCTTCCTCCCTCCCTCCTTCCCTCCCTCTCTCTCTCTCTCTCTTCCCTTGTCTCTTAAAATAAATAAACTTGAAAAAAATAAAGCACATTTTCCTGCTTTGTCGAACATTACTTCGTCATATATTTGTGGGTTCATTTCTGGGTTCTCTATTCTATTCTATTCCATTTATCTATGTATCTGGTTTTGGCCCAATAACATACTGGCTTGATGATTACACTTTGTAATATAGCTTAAAGTCCGGAATTGTGATGCCTCCAGCTTCAATTTTCCTTTTCAAGATTACTTTTGTCTATTCAGGGTCTTTTGTGGTTGTATACAAATTTTAGGATTGTTTTTTCTAGCTCTGTGAAGAATGCTGGTGTTATTTTGATAAGGGTTGCATTGAATGTATAGACTGAGTAGTATCGACATTTTAACAATATTCGTTCTAGTCCATTAGCGTGGAATGTTTTTCCATTTCTTTGTGTCTTCTTCAATTTCTTTCATAAACTTTCTATAGTTTTCATTGGAAAGATCTTTACCACTTTCGTTAGGTTTATTCCTAGGTATTTTATGATTTTTATGATTTTATGATTTTTGCTGCCCTTGTAAATGGGACCCATTCCTAGGTTTCACTTTCTGCTGCTTCATTATTGGTGTATAAATTTCTGTATATTGATTTTGTATCCTGTGCCTTTGAGAGTCTGTAGATCAGCTCTACCAGTTTTTTGGTGGAGTCTTTCAAGTTTTCCATGTAGAGTATCATGTCATCTGCGAAGGGTGAAAGTTTAACTTCTTCCTTGCTGATTTGGATGCCTTTTTTTTTTTTATTGTTGTTGTCTGATTGCTCCAGCTAGGACTTCCAATAGTATGTTATACAGCAGTGGTGAGAGTGGACATCCCTCTTGTGTTCCTGATCTTAGGGGAAAGCTCTCAGTTTTTCCCTATTGAGCATGATATTAGCTGTAGGCCTTTTATATATGGCTTTTATGATGTTGAAGTATGTTCCTTCTACCCCTACTTTCTTGAGGGTTTTTGTCAAGAAAGGATGCTATATTTTGTCAAATGCATCTTTTGCATCTATTGTAAGGATCCTATGGTTCTTATCCTGTCTTCTCATGTGGTGTATCACATTGATTGGCTGACAAATATTGAACCAGCCCTGCAGCCCGGGAATGAATCTCACTCGATCAGGGTGAATAATTCTGTTAATGTACAGTTGAATTTGATTTGCTAGCATCTTGCTGAGAATATCTGCATCCATGTTCATCAGGAATATTGGCCTGCAATTCTCCTTCCTAGTGGGGTCATTGTCTGGTTCTGGTTCTGGAATCAAGGTAATACTCGCTTCATCGAATGAGTTTGGAAGTGTTCCTTCCACTTCTATTTTTTGGAACACTTTGAAGAGAATAGATTCTTTTTTAAAAAATGTTTTAAAACATTTATATATTGTTGAGAGACAGAGCGTGAGCAGGAGAGGGGCAGAGAGAGGGGGAGACACAGAATCCGAAGCAGGCTCCAAGATTGAACTATCAGCACAGAGCCTGCTGCAGTGTTCGAACCCATGAACTGTGAGGTTGTGACCTGAGCCGAAGTTGGACATTCAGCTGGCGAACTCCAGTATTAACTCTTTTTTAAATGTCTGGTAGAATTTCCCTGAGAAGCCATCTGGCCCAGGACTCTTATTGCTTGGAGATTTTTGATAACTGGTTCCATTTCTTCGTTTGTTATGGGCCTCTGTTTCTTCCTGTTTGAGTTAAGTTTTGGTAGTGTGTGAGTGTCTAGGAATTGTCCATTTCTTCCAGATTGTGCAGTTTATCGGCACATAATTTTCATAGTATTCTCTTGTAATTATTTTTCTATGGTGTTGAGCTTTCCTTTTTCATTCGTGATTTTATCTATTTGGGTCCTCTCTCTTCGAGAAATTTGGCTAGGGGTTGATCAGTTTTGTTTATTCTTTCAAAAAGCCAGCTCTTAGTTTCATTGATCTGTTACGTTTTGTGTGTGTGTTTTTAAATTCTATATTGTTTATTTTTGCTTTAGCCTTTATTATTTCCCTTTTTCTATTGGCTTTGGACTTTATCTGCTGCTCCTTTTCTAGCTCCTTAGGTGTAAGGTTAGGTGGTGTATTTGGGACCTTTCTTGCATCTTGAGATAGGCCTGAATTGCAATGTATTGTCCTCTTAGAACTGCCTTTGCTGCATTCAAAAGCGTTTGGACTCTTGTGTTT